CTTTCATATTTGACATGAACTTATTTAAAAGAGGAAAAGGTTTGGGGTATTGTTTATCATCATAAGTAAAAAATGACGTATTGTTTAATTATGTAATCACGTAACGATCAATCTGCCTAATTTTAATAAATCAAAATGTCCGCATAATTTTGGTTGTTGACTGTAGAATATTTAATTATTACAAATTGCTTAAAATATTATTTAAAATAAATTACTTAAAAGTATTATTGAATAATCACTAAAAAATATTATTATTTTGAAATATTAATTTTATTCTAATATTTAAAAAGTATTATAAAAATTTAATATTATACAAATTGATATAAATTGTTGTCACTTATAGGTTAAAAAAGAAAAACTGTCAAATATATAATTTAATTATTAAAATATCAAATTTTAAAATACGTTAAAATTGATTAATTTGTATTTACATTTCTATAAAAGTCTAATTTATATTGATATTACTATAATAAATAGCTAATTTATTATTAATATAAAGTTAAAAAGTTTAAATTTATATTCACATTTCTATAAATGACTAGTTTAAATATCAAGTCTAAGCTATAAATTATTTGTTCTTACTATTTATAGGAGTAGTTTAATTATATATAAAAAGTCTAATTATTGAGAATTTGTATTATTTACCTTATGCTATAATATAATTATTTTATTATTTAAAAAGCAACAATTATTTTTACAAAGTCTCTTTTTCTTTTTCATTATTTTTTTATAACTCTTTAGTCTTCTTATTATTATTATGTCTCCCAATATTACCATCTGAACTTAAAAGCAAAAAAATATTATCTCTAGTATTAACGAACATAAAATTGATGATTCCAAGTAATTTTTCATCTTTAACTATTATTGTAAAAAATATGTTAGAATTCTTAATTTTCTCTTTGATTTTTTCATTAGTTCTAAAAAAAATCAAGAATCAGGAAAATCTCCTGCTAAAAAATAAGATCAAAAAGAAGGTTTCAAATGTTAACAATAATAAATCTGCAAATGAATCCAATTAATAAACTTTATCACTAGATACAAATATTACTTCTATATGTAAAACTATACTGTCAGCTCTAAAAATTACTGCTAAACATAAGTGTTAAAACTAATATAAACTGATGAACTTGTCAAATATAACACATTTATAATTTATATTATTTCTATTATTATTATTATTATTATTATTTCTAACATATTTATTATTTATTATTTCTATTATTTTTATTCTTATTATTATTTATTTTATATTTATTGCACTAGTCAAAATCAAAAAAATTGGACATATGAAAAATTGGCCTTAAATCAGCCTAAAATCAGCCTAAATTTAGCAAATTATCAAAAATCAGCCTAGCCGATTTGTATACATCAGAAATTGGCTAAGAATCAGCTAAATTTTGACTTATCTTATTTATAGTCAATTGAAATATTTATAGTTAATTGGTATATATTAAAAATTTAACCTATCTTATTTATAGTCAATTGAAATATTTATAGTTAATTGGTATATATCAAAAATTTGACCTATCTTATTTATAGTCGATTAATATTCGATTAAAATGATTGTATTATTCTTAAAATACAATAGTTTTATCATTCCTAAGGTACGATAGTTTAAGAAATAATTATTTTATCATTCCTTAAATACAATAATATTATTGTACCTTAGGTATAATTAAAGATGATTCCCATAATTATTTTCAAATTTCAATTGAGTTGTAACTTAATTACGCTATAAGAAAATTTAATTGCGCTACAAGTTGCAACTCAATTGCGCTATTTTTTTTAATTGTGGTGATCATCTTTAGGTATAATGCATTTAGATATAATAATTTTATTGTACCTAAGAATAATGCATTTATTATTTATTAGGAATAATAGTTTTATCGTTTCTAAGGAATGATGATTTTATCATTTCTAAGGAATGATACATTTATTATTCATTTAGATCAATTTATTATTATTCTAACAAATTAAACTTTCAGATTAAACTGATTTGCTAAAATAATATCAAATATACGATTTTTTAATATTGATTAAATATACTATTTAAGTTTATTTCTGGTATATATAGGAATATTTATATGAATAAGCTTAATTTTCAAATTTTTTCTTTTTACATTCTATTAAAATGCTGAAAAAAAATCATCTCAAGAACAAAAAGATCTTAAGTTGAATTTTAGTTAATTTTCACCTTCAACTATCAAAATCAGATAAAGAAAAAGCTGTATTTTAGTCAACTTTTCAAAAAATAAACTGATTTTTTTACTTTTTATAATAGAAATATGTTTTCAACTATCAAATTAGATAATACTTAAGTTGAATTTTAGTCAAAAAATATACTGATTTTTTTACTTTTTATAAAAAAACATACCTCTAACCATTAAATAAAACAAAATTTAAGTTAAATTTTAATTAATTTTCCTGATTTTTTTTTACTTTTTATAATAGAAATATACCTTCAGCTATCAAATCAGATAAAATTTAAGTTGAATTTTAGTCAATTTTTCAAAATATATACAAAAAATAAACTGATTTTTTTTACTTTTTATAATAAAAACATACCTTTAACTATCAAATTAGACAAAACTTAAGTTGAATTTTAGTAAATTTTTTAAAAATATACAAAAAAATAGATTTTTTACTTTTTATAATATAAATATTATATTATGAAAATGATCTATTGAAATATATTGAATTAGAAGATTGAAATTTATTTCTTATAAGGTAACTATATTGAATTTATGAGTATTATATAATGAAAATAAAATATTTTATTTCACTATATCTATTAACAAACGAGTATAATAGGAGGCAATTCTAAAAGTAGGAATGTTAATAAGAGTTAAGGAGTTGAAATTAGAGGTGATATTAATATTTGTAGGGACAGTGTTTATTGATAAGATTAAAATTTAGAAAAACAGCTAATATGGCCTTCAATTTGTTTATCAAGGCCAGTTATTAAAGAAAAGAAATTCACGTATTATATTCATTTAGAAGCCTTTTATTGAGTAAGGCTTATTGAAAGATACTACATGAGTTGATTAATTCGTTGATAATGGCAATGAAAGATAAAATACGTTCTTGTTATTTCTGATAGATTGTCTATAATTGTTTGTTGGTATCATTTTGGATGACTACAATGCACTCAGACATATTAATAAAAGATGCCATTTCATTAGCAAGGCTGTATTCTACTAGAAGAGCTTTTATTGTGTATGGTGGCATCTAAGAGTGTAATGATCTTAATATGCAAGGCTTTATCGATAATGGTGAAACATTTTTCAGAGAATTTAATCTTTTTTGATAGGTCACTTAGGTGTTCTTCAATTTGATCAAGTTGAAGGATAATGTATTTGAAATTCTTAACATGCATTGAATTCCCTTTGGAAGTACCGTTTTTTAATCCAGATATAAGTAGGATTATGTTATCAAACATAGCATCATCATTATTAAATGATTTATCTATTTAAATAAGAGATATATCATATTCTTTTCTGTTATCTCTATTAGTTACAGGTAGTTAAGGTGTATTATTACTCTTAAGTTTTGGTGGTGAAAGGAGTAGTAGTCTGCATTGTTCATTACCTTTAGGTTGTTGTTGTGAAGAGGTTTAGTAACATTTGCAAATGTGATATTTTCTCATATAGCACTACAGATGGGTTTCTTTAGTATAGTATAACTGTTGAATTGTGCAGGTTAAAAATATTGATATAAATTTTATGTGCTTCCATCCTTAGAAGTCTGTTACTTTTTCAAATATGTAAATGTATTGTAATAGGCAAAGAAGCATATTGCATAAAGTTTCTTTTTAGAATCAGTCTATTCTAATTTTTTATTATTAAGAGCAAGATTGGTATTCTCTAAGGTGGGCTTAACATCATTCATATTATAAAAATAAAAGTATATTGTCATGATGGTTTCGTGGCTTCAAATAAATTCTCAAAAAAGGTAAATAAAACTAAGACAATTACTCAAGGAATCACGAGTGAGGATTTACAATAACGTCAAAGATTTATTCTCAATATAAATCACATGAGGTGAACACAAAATAAACACAAAGTTAACTCAAAGATATTTCAGAGATTACGCTTCAGAGACTCCAAGTCAATACAGCAAA